TGATTTATTGAAGCATTTCACGATGCGGGAGTTTTCCTTGGAATTCGCGTCTATTTGCTGGCAGCTGCACAGTGACGATACCTTGTCTTTAGTGGTATCTCCAAGCCTCCCCCAAATTTCCCATCTGAGAGCAGCCACATCCCTGCACAGCTCCTGCCATTCCTGAGCTGTGTTGTCTTAGTCATCAGGTGAGCTAGCTACCCCTGCCAACCACCACCACCCACCAAGCAAGGCTGCCAGCTTGACGCGTGCACCGGAGCACTCAGCAGTAGCAGCCTTGAACCTCAATCAAAGCGACGACGTCCCATCAACCCAACCCCACCAACGAACGAACCTCATCGAATTGACGATAACCACCCTTTTGACGACCGGCATATCCATCACGAACGATAACGAATAATCTTCATTTCCCTTCAGATACCGCAATCATGGCTATGTTCAGCCAAAATCCCCTGATGAACGGGCCCAACTACTCCTTCTCCGAGGCCCCCAAGACCGCCAACGGCGAGTTCAGACAGCACCGCTTCAACCCGTACGGAGCTCCTCTCGACCCTCCCATCGTACCCAAAAGCTAACCTACCCTGTGCTACAGCTACACGGACAACGGCGGTTCGACCCTCGCCATCGCCGGCGCCGACTTCGCCATCGTAGCCGGCGACACCCGTAGCACTTCCGGATACAGCATCAACTCCAGATACACACCCAAGGTCTTCAAGATCGGCGGCACCACCTCAACACAAGAAGATGCGACAATCATGCTCTCCGTCGTCGGCTTCGCTGCCGACGGCGAGGCCCTCAAGGACCGCCTCGATACCATCTGCAAGATCTACCGCTACCGCCACGGCAAGCCCATGAGCGTCACAGCCTGCGCGAAGCGTCTCTCGACGATCCTCTACCAGAAGCGCTTCTTCCCCTACTACGTCTACGCCATCCTCGGCGGCCTCGACGAGGAGGGCGTCGGCGCCGTCTTCTCCTACGACCCCGTCGGCAGTTACGAGAGAGAGCAGTCCCGCGCCGGCGGTGCCGCCGCCAGTTTGATCACACCGTTCCTCGACAACCAGGTCAACTTCAAGAACCAGTACGTGCCGGGCAGCGGTGTGGGTCACGAGCTGCAGGAGCGTCCCCGCGTTCCTCTGGAGCGCAAGGAGGCCGAGATTCTGGTCAAGGATGCGTTTGACGGAGCGGTCGAGAGACACATTGAGGTCGGTGACCACCTGCAAATGATGGTCATCACCAAGAACGGCATCGAGGAGGTCCTTCTCCCCTTGAAGAAGGATTAAAGATATGACGGGATTCTGGGAAAGTGTTGCGGTTGGGGGGGGTGTTGTACAATACAGACAGGTAGCAATGCCAAAGAGGCACTTGTTCAGCTGATCAATCATTGTACGCGGTTCAAATTTCAGCCCGCGTGTTCACAGCAAACTAAAGTCCCTTTTGCAACTCGTGCGGGCGGTTCCCCTGTGAATCCCATGCTGCGAGGCCAACTGGAAAATCTGGTAGGTCGCTCGCTCTGCCCCGGAACAAGCATGGGGGAAATAGAGGGATGCAGGCAGGGATATCTCATTTCGCCTCGCAGGACGCATCGGCTACCCAGGACGAACCGATGGTCTTTGACCCCTTTTTCTGCTGCATGTGATGCCACACAGCTGGGCGGTATGCAATAGGCTATAGTCCAAGGGGGAGGAAGTCTAATAGGGAGGAGTACGAATACGGAATGAATGGATCGGATGCTTCAATGTTCGAACTCCCCCCTTCCGAGAGCTCTCCTCCATTATCGCTTAACATTGGGTGATATCTGGTGCTTTACTTTGCAAGACTTGCGTCCCTGGCACCAGCGAATCAGACGTAGTAAGTCTGCTTGGCTTTTCCGCGGTACAACCGTGTTACTAGGCGTGTGGCATTCTCTATCTCTCTCTCGCACTGCCATCCATACTTGGTAAGCTGGTCGTCTCGAGGAAAGCGAGCCCTTCCAAACGGGACTGTGATAGGTAACACCAGGCTCCAGGTTCCAGATCCAAGTCCAGGTTCAGGTTCCAGAAACGGCACTAAGCGCAGCAAGCGAGGGGCGGGCAGAAAGGAAGGGAAGGACATCGCGGACGGGTATTGGACGTTGGACAGCCCGTTCCTGTCAGACTACGGGTACGGGCTGGACCGAGTTAGCGAGGGCACGATGCACGAAGGCACGGAGGCTCTTTGGGAGAGGATCGCGGACGAGTACCTTTGGAGCAAAGTGGCAAAGTACCGCGTACTCGGCGCCCGCCCCGTTTGGGATAACCGCCTGGTAGGGCCTGGCTTTGCCTCTGTCTGGCTGTCATCTAGGTATCTACGCTATGGGTGTGCCTCTCTGGGGAGAGCACAGCCTCGCCACGGGAAGCCGGCTAGAGCCCCTTCCCCCGACCTGTGTGATCCGGGATATCGGTAGCGAAACGGTCTTAGACGCCCGAGGAAGCTAGGTATCACGGGGCAGCGTTAGGGCCGAGTCAATCGTATCAAAGGGGCCTCCTGGAGATTCTAGAGATTGGAGCTTTTGCCAAGGGGTTAGATGAACCAAAACCGCGAGCACCGAATAGCTTGGCGGGTGATGCTGAATAGTGACGGACACGCCTTTCATCGGGGAGCTGTTGTACGGGGTATCATTGGTAGCTTGAACGAAGCAAGACTGCAGCTTTCAATCCCCCCCGGCCTCACGACCAGCTGACCCGCGCCGGTGCTGGCGGGGAGGCCATCCGAGCAGATGAGCTCTCTACATTTTCTTGCCTGTCATTGCCACAATTGTACGATACAAGGTTATTGGAGTCTCAAGCTACTTTACTGTATGACTGTACAGTACTACGGGACCGCCTAGGGCTGGAAGGCGGACTACTGACAGCTAACGTCGAACAACTGATTCGTAATCTAGCATAAGCTTCTCCTCTTCAGGCGCAATGCCGCTATGGGCCCAGAGAGTTTCGAGATGCGATCGTCGTCGGAAGCTTACTCTCCAAAGGTGTCCTCATAACCCCACCACCACCACCACTACCTACAAAGCCACCAGGCACCGCCGAAAATCTCAGCTTCCAACAAAACGGGTGGTCTGTTTGCCACTGGAGACGTATGCTGATCCTCCGGTGGTAAAGAAGGGACGGACCATGTGCCAGTACGTCGCAGGCCTGGAGAGCTGAACCCTTGTTGCATTGCCGATGAGCATTGCAGGGAATCTTTCGTCCTGATACGACTTGGACAGGCTTGAGCTTGAAAAGAGGCGTGTCAACCCAAGACGGGAAAAAAGCATCTTATCTTCGGTCCATGCCGATTGTGGAGAGGATGCCGATACGACGATATTCGAGAGGTATTTGGTTAGTTCTCGGCAGATCAGGGGATTTGCCATCTCGAGAATAGCCATTACCCGGGATTACGTCAGGCACACTGCAATTTCTAGTTGAGATGAGTTTATATAGAAACATCAAATGGTCGTTGTAAATCGTCGTCAATCGTCGTCAGACGTGCATGGGATGTACAGATAATCGTTGCGTATTTGGGCTAGACGTGGCTGATGTTGCATCTGCTGTGTGGCTTGTAACAGCAAGGGTCGTTGATGTGGTTGCACAGACTTGCATCATCGTCCAGGGCCTCGGAGACAGCTCCTCCAACGAAATCAAGTCTGCTACTGCGCAGCCGGGGAGTCTCAAGTTTGCTAGGCGCTAGGCTGGCAGACATGGACCACCTGGCGAACGACATCGCACACAATCCTCTGAAGCGACAGATTGTGCGTCGCCACCGCGGCGCACGGTCGAGACCAAGTCAGATGGCGATGCACAGAACTGCCAAAGTCGTCAATCCAAGTCGAAGTCCAGTGACAAGTGCAGAACTCAATGGCTTTAGACGACAGCCTCTGTAGCTCGGGCATTTTGAACCGAACAAGCACTGACGCTGAAAGCTGTCGGCCCGACTGCACTAAGCGGAATATGGTTCTGGTTGCGAAGAAACGAGGCTGCGACTTTTGAAGTAGAAGACCGCAATTGCGTGTCCTGTGTCCGAGGGTCAAATTATATGTCAAGGCGATGTCACCTGTATGTTGTTGTCTCGAATAACTGCTTCTCTCCATGCAGCCGCGGCGACTGGCCAAGCGTCCAAGTGCCTCACTTACCATATCAGCGAGAGGGAGTGCTGAGTTTGAGCCGCCTTGTCACCAGCGACTTTGGCTGATCATCGTTTGAGGCTGCTCTGTGTTGTCATCGACATGGGATATGCCGCTGCACCGTCTTCGAGTGACGGATTTCAAACCAACCACTGGCACCTCTCCAACAAGTTGATGAGGTAATGCGGCGCCAAGATGATTGCGGAACGTAGCGACTTCATTACCGGTAGGTAGTCTCTCGGTCGAATGCCGTTCTCCTTTCATGTGCACCGGGCCACTGTAGACTGCATTAGCTAACTCATTTGTGTCCCGTAACGGCAGACTAGCCGCGGAGAAAGCTGCCAGACCAGCCTTAGCGGCTGAAGACAAGGCGCCGTGCCGTGACGGCGAGGTACCGTGTATCTGTGCGACCGGGCGTCTGGCGCCCTTGGTGCTGGTCGTCAATGAAGCTGTGAGCCGGCCAGGCCTTCGAATGTCTGATGCGCTCGGCAATGTGGGCGTTTTCTTCTCAAGGCATCAATGGCTCGCGCAAGTACACCTGAAGTGCCTGGCTATCAGTAGAACGCCGTATCATGTCCGGGTAGGTTATTGACCATGGCACGCCGCACGCATGGCACTTCGGGTGGCATGTTTCCGGGGTCGGGGTGCAAAAAGAACCCTCAATTGTACTGCTTCGACGGGTTCTAGCCATGCGTGCCATGATCTCACCCCCGGATCATAATGTGGTAGCAGTGACGATTCTCGGAGGATGCGTGCCACATGCAACGCAGATCTCGGTGCGGATGGGGTAAAGGATCGGCGCCGGTCAAGCTGGAGCCTTGGTCAGTTGTGGCGAAACTCCGACCGGCAAGCCGCAATACTCGGCCGCGCGGTGTCTCTGGCGTCAAACGGCAGTTTGGCATGCTCGCATCCTTGGACGGCGTGCGCCGTGGATATTGTCTGCTTTGTTTTTGCTCATTTCCACCTCCGGCGGCCCCGATTTCCTGGTAAACCCTTTCGAAGCATATTGCGATGATCCGGTGGATGATTGGATCTCGGCCAAGTAGTCACAGATGTAAGTGCAGGTTGTGTACAATATACAAGTAGCGACTTGGCCCGGAGAGGAACTTCCGGCTGTCACAAGTCTGGATAGCTGCACTAGAGTTGCCACGATTGATTGGACCCAGATGGTTGCGGTGGACGGGTAAGGGTCCTGCTGCTCAGGCACAGGGTTCGGGCGATGACTCGGGCTGTCGGGGTTGGCGCCGGAGAGGTATCTCGAAGTGAAAGCAACGATGAGATTGGACAATTGCTTGACGGGTGACTGGCTGCGAGCACCGTAAGAAAGCTTCCCAACAAGCTTGAGACAGGCCTTTTTGCCACAAGCATTCGAGATGGTTGCGGGAGAAGCAAAAATGCTGCCGCTGCAGGCTTTCGGCTTGCCAGTTGGCGTCAATGAAGGGATCAGGCCTGCTGGAGAGGAGAGGAGGAGACCTTCAAGGGCAGTGGGGGGGGGAGGGGGGGACGCAATGCAAGTGGAGGTCTGGAAAAAATCGAAAAGTTTGGAGAATCCCATGTTGACGGTGCCGTCAAAATTTGGCGCGGCGGCTTTGGATAGTCGTGGTTGCAAGAGATTTCGGGTAAGGAGACCGGGGGGGGGGGGGGTGAGTACCTTTACGAGTACATCCGCAGGTACCTGCTCTGTACGGTACAAGGCACGTATCCAAAGTTCCCTACCTTACCTATGAGGTAAGTAGTCTCCAATGTCACAGCAAGCAGACTGGAGCAATACTTCAAGGAGGAAGGAGCGGAGAGACATGAGGCGAGGCAGGCGAGGCGAGACAAATGATAGTTGGAACCGGGAGGAAAGGAGGAACAAGGCAAAAAAGCAGGGACAAACTTGGCCAACTCAGCTTACCTAGGGAAAGTGCCTATCCGTAAGGTGAGGTAGCCAAGACAATGCAATCAAGCGCAGATGGCCCCCAAACTCAAAGGGATTCCCCTATCTGTGAACGCGACCTTATTCCCATTTGGTCCAATAGAATACCCAATCGTACATCGAGTTGTTGGACCCTGAAAACCACTTGTGAAGCTGACTCCATGTCAAGCAAGGCTAGAGAGAAAGAGAGAGAGAGAGACAGAGATACTTTACGTCTTGGAGGGTGAACTCGCAGGTCGCAAATTGGCATTACTCGGAGACACTCCGGCAAGAGACCGAGCTCCTCAAGACAGAGTTTTTCCAATGCTCCAAGTCTCCATCTCATGGAGTCATGATGCTTGGACCCTTGGAGTGGAAGGTGGAAGGGGAACAAGAACCGGCGGAGATGGATTTGCACACTTGCATCAAATGTCACCGTGCAGTTCTTTCCTTGGCCTTGAACCCTCCAAGTTGGAGCGTAGGACAGAATAGCGGGGATGGGTGGGGTTCTATCCAGACCGATTTCCCACTGTAGGCGAGGCGACAGATGCGCATTGTGGTCGGTGTCGGATCAGTCACCATCACCTCAGACTTCACTGTGAAAGCTTCCCGTTTCCGCCGCGGACCCTGTCCGCAACTCCAGCCTCCTCCTCATCTCACTTCTCCACCACTTCCCCCTTCCACTTGGGATGTCCACACTTCGGCTTCCGTCCAAACCGTCAAATCGCTCAGACATACGACTGCCGCCGGCTCACTATGGCATCCGACCGCGTCAAGCACGCTGACAAGTGACAGTGGACTGGACGTGGGGTGAACCGCGCGGTCTCCATACTACCACCACCTGCACATACAATCGCGATTCGTGATTGAATCATGGCTACTGGTCAGCGGCACAAACGCCGTGCCCCATATTGCTGCAAATCTTTACTCCAAGACTCCAACGTCTCGATGATCTCGTTACTCCCGACTCGTCGCACACTCTCCGGCGCGATGGAGTTGTCTGGTCCCCCAATTCCTCCATCGTTGTCCATCGCTGGCACTGTATGAGTCGAGTCCACTTATTCATCTACAATACTCCGACGACTCAACGTCTCCAACTGAGGCATACTCGGCCTACCTAGTCCTCGATGGCCACTTCCAGCCTTCCACTCGATACTCCAGCTCCAGCGTTGGCCCAGTCCTCGCGTACTCCGCTTCCTCTCTTTTCTTCATCTATCAAGCTTTCGTAGCATGGCTTCCATCAACGATTGTGATTTTCGACAGTGTTCATCGATGGTCTGTACCACCTTTGCCCCAAGCACGTGGATTCGGACGCTTGGCCAGCTTGTCTAGGGTGTCTCATTACAATTTACTACTGCCGTTGGCGAGCCCGAGAAACAACTTGGGGGCTGTGGAATGATCAGACCACCGATGGGCCGAGGGCCCGCGGTGACCTACAGGCCTCTCTTGCCTGGAGATCATCCGGATGAGCATGTTACAACTTACGGGCTGTCTGGGTAAGGGGAGAATGGTCTAGACCACCGGTCTCCCCGCACAATGGCTCCCTCATGCGGCTCACAGCCAACCCAACTCGTGCTGCAATTTGAGCCTCTCACAGTCTTAGCGCGACACTTTCCAAGTCTGAATCCCTTTGTTACTGGATGAGCCTGCAGCCTGGGGCATTGGACGGGAGGAGTGCGGATTTCTCGATGCAGCCCTCGATCCACAGCGGATGAAGGAATCTGCCAGACATCTCAACCTCTTTCACGCCCTTGTCCTCGACCACTCCTATGTTTCGCGCTGGCAGTTTTAAGGCGTCTGCGTTTCCGACAACCGACTGATGCCTGGACACACTACAGCAAGGCCTTGGCTGAATAGGGATGATGTTCCGGCACCGATGGAAGAGACTGGCCTGCGATGCTTCAGGGCAGATTCTTGCAAGCGCGGCACCGAACATACCTCAAAGATGCAAGGATTACTGAATTTGCTGGGACTGGTATGGTCATATACGTCATGACTTTCCAAAGGCGCGATGGCGAATTTCGGCGAGCCGTTGACTCTGTGTAAACGACCACTGAGCCAGTAGGCCTCACAGGCCTTATTACAAATTGCCATGCTGTGAGGCAGAAATGAGACATAAGACTATCCTCCAAGCCTCATACCGATGTAGCTTGGTTAGATGGGATGGGTCTCGCCAACACAAATGCTGTACGGATCCATAGGCATGTTAGGCGCACGTTTTCTCGAGCCACTCCACCGCCGATGCTGGATAGCTCACTCTCAGGATTACCTACACCTACCTGCTATTGGCCTCGGAAGCGCATAGCCGCCCCCAGATCACCAGTTGAGCACGTTGCTGTTACCCGAACTCAAGTCAGGTAGATGCGAGGGTGAGGTTACGGCAAAATAAAGCTCAAACCCAATTGGGCAAAGCTGGAGATGTACTACGTAGGGCGAAGTTGGAGGGCTGGACCGGGAGATGCGGTTGTGAGCTCCAGTAACAGCAGCCCGATGCTTCCTTTTTCCTCTTGGACTAGGTGCTGTTACTCTGTGCGAATAACGCATGATGCCGTGTCGCAGCTGTGCAGCAGCAGTACCCAACGCCCAAACTCACAAGCCTAAAAGCGAAGAAAAAGCAATGAAAAGCAGGCAATGATCTGGGAAAGGGTCTCGAGGATTTCGATGTTTTGCTGCGTTTATGGACAACAGGGGGTTGATCATCTATTGATAGTACACAGCTGCGAATGCGATGCCTATCAGTCAGGTATCCGCCACCCGGCCTGGCACGCCTTGTTTAGAATTTGAGGCTAGCGATCCATCAAGTGATGGGGAAAAGCCAACGTCAGTCAAGAAGAAGGCGCCAAAGCAGGAAGACAAAAAAGTTTGAATTGCAGGGAGCAGCACATGGAGCTCAAGGAGATACGACGCACGTACGAAGTAGTAGCGGGAGCGATTGTACCTGCCCCCTGTACTCTTGATGTACCGCGCCGAGTACCTCAAGCGATACGTACCGGGAGGCGACTTTGGGTGACTGAGGGAGGCCCAGGACCAATGTGGCTGGGCGTCCGGGCCAGACACGGGACTAACAAGACACCAAGACCAGAGCGAGATCGAACGAGTGGGCGCGCAAGCGCGGTCCCTGTCTCTCGTTCTTGTTTTCTGGGGCTCTTGTTCTTTCCTCCCCCATCCCCTTGCACTTTTCCTTTTGAAAGTAACCTTGGATTTTCTACATACTGTAAACAGTCGGCAGGCAGGCAGGCAAGCTGAGCACATCAAGTCGGCACGTTGTAGTACTTGGCAGCAGGAAGAAAACCTAGCACGAGGGAGAAGCGCGGAAGTACTTTAGCCACAGATCACAGGCCACAGTACTCCGTACCTTACCTCATTCTACTGCGTACCTTCTCGCGCTTTCACTTGCTACTCGTTACTTGGCTACGTACTCGGACACAGATTGCTTCCCTTCCTGACTCTGTGTCTGGAAAGTGGCTCGGCGGGTCGAGTGGCGAAATGCAAGACTGGGTCGCTCTCCATCGGATTCCTCCACCTGCCGCCCTGCTCGTCTCTTGTGTTGTTTGTCGCTGCTCTACTCTTGTCACTCTGTTCTGCAACGTCTGCTCTGCACCTCGCTCTCTCGTTTCCATTAGCCCTTTTGCCTCTGTCTTCGAGCTCTCCATCTGTACCAAGGTTGTCTCATACGTAGTCAGTCTGTCGATACCTGTATTACATACTATGTTCATATCCCCATTGAGCTACAAGTGTATGGATCAAGTAAGGTGCCTTGATAGGCGGATATTTTGTTTTCTCTCTCTCTCTCTCTCTTACACATCATTCTCCCTCTCTGTGTCTCTCTTCCTCGCTCTCTGCAATTTCGCGATTGATTGTGATTCGGTAGCTCTCGTGCTTAAGTGCCCATACCGTCGTATTCATCATGAGAACAAGACTTCCATCTACAAGTCCATCCCTGTTGACACAAGGCGACAAGCTACTTTCGTCTAGTTTAGTTCGTGGCCCGGCCAAGTGGGAGGGCCACCCGACCACATCTGTGTCCCTTGCACATCTCAGAGCGGCAGCCAAGAACCGAAGAAAAAAATCCCATCTTTCTTCATCCAATTTGATGCTACTGGTTCCAGAACGGGCACCTGGCCATGCACATCAGTTCGTTCCCACATCATGGATGCTCCCCTTACCCGCATCGCCCCTTCTACCGCCACCCCTCCCTACGGTGTGAGGTGTATGCCTTTTTTCTCTTCCTCCTCCTCCTCCTCCTCAATTCCCATCCCTCCTTTCTCTTCCCCATTCCATCTGGGCTGAACTGGCCAGGACTGAGAACGAGACCTTCTACCTACGACCTAGTATAGTGCCTCTGTGCCTCTGTGTCTCTGTGCCTCTCTCTCTCTCAACCTCTCTCACTCACTCTTTCGCACACACATACACATACACTTACACTCACACGCCTCTCGCCTCTAAACCCACCCCTCCTCGAACGCCACTTAACCCACTGTCTGGCCCGGTCGTTTCCCTCTCGCCTTACCCGTCGCTCACCCAGACTCGACCTTCGACTCGTCCTGTCTTCTCTCTCACAACTGCCTCGGTGTAGTGTAGTCGGGCAGTCCTCTCTCGCTCATCAGCACTGCCATCTCGGCCTCTTCTTCGTGATATCTTTGAAAAGAAAAGGTGCGACGCATACACTACGACAACAACGGACGCATAGCGGCGAAGTGGTTGCCGCCTACATCTCGGAGCTCTCCTCAAGTCGGCCAACGGCGCAATCTTGGAACCCACCTCCAGTGCTCCAGCACCTCCTCGACAGCTCCCCCGAGCTCGAAACTGTGGGCATTATCCTGCGCCATCTACTCTACTTCAGTACGTGCGTTTCTGGCATCCCACAACTCCTCCAACGTTTTCTCTCAAACCCCTACGCCTCAGTCGCCGCTTGCCCATAGCTTTCTTATTGCTCAACAAGTAACTAGGATTCTGAGAGCCTCCACATTTAGCTTGCTTGTGCAAGATACCCGGCCCTTGGGTTTTGGCCACCATCCTGTCGGTAACTCGTCACCTTCCTTGTGCTGCTATTCCACGCCTTTCTCTTTTTACTGCCCGGATCTCATGACAGCCGTTTCCTTCCTTCTTCCATACATATCATTGGGCGTTGGGAGAAGAAGCACTCTTAGTGTCTCCTTCATCACGCAGCTACCACAGCAACCTCTAACTGGTACGCCAGGACTATTCTGTCTAAACCCTCGCTTACGTTGACTTGGTCTTTTTCAACCGGTCGAGTCTCGTCTTGCCACTGGGGGCTTCTCAGTCGTCGACTCTCCATACTTCTTCATTCTCTTGAATCGCACTGGATTGGACGTCCTCTGCTGCACAGCATCACATCGTCACCTTAACGTGTATTCATCCTACCATCAAGTCCTGAGCTCGCATTCGTCTTACATCATTGGACTCGTAACTCGTAGAACATCCATCTACCAGTACAGCAACAACCCCTGCGTCGGCGCCCCGAAGTTCAGGTAAGAGACAGCCCTCGTTTAGTGGCAACCGCACCATACTGAAGCGGCACCTCTCCACACGATGTACATGCCTGGAGTTCCCTAACCTAGCCCCTCGCGTCTCGTTTCTTCGTCCTTCCCGTCATCTTCGGCAGCTCCCCCTCCATCATCCTGGTACCAAAGACTACGCAGCCCCCCCTGCTTCGGGCTCTTCTCTGCATTAGTATTGGACGCCCAGACGAGCTGATCGCCTTCTAGGAATTTCATTGAGCCACACATCGCACGCGCTCCTTCCTGAGCAGGGTTAACTGCCACATATACCCTTGGGCGCTCGGAAGCGTGACTTTCCAGAGGGAAATCCCCCCCTTTCCTTCAAAGGCTGTGCAAACTAGCCACATTGGCCACAACGTGGGCTTTCACTCATCTACCGCAAATAGCTCAATCTTGTTGTGGCGCCTAGAATCATACATACTTCCCGTCACATCCTGACCGTCTCTCCTCTCGTCTGGGTTTTGCTCCGTTAGAGCTGTCAGTCGACCCAGAGCTCCGGGGGCTTGGACTAGTGCTTTACCGAAGGTATAAACTACTAGATGGACCTCAGTCTGGCTTGCTGGCGCCGTTGGTCCCGGCCGCCGACGTTTGGGCATTTTGCTAACTCGATTACGACAGTTTGTGGGCGGCTTAGACTCCGATACAGCTCGCACCATCACCATACAAATGGGAGATGTTCAATCTCCTCCCAACGTCACCGAGTATCCTATTGTGGACTCTCACCAGGGCTTAAACGCAAACGCTGCAAGTGTTTCGCCCATTCTTCTAGACGAGAAGTCGAGGATGGAAGCTCAAGGCATCCCCCATCTGCAGCATCAGCAGTACGGCCCTCCGCAACATGCCTTTTCGTCTCAACTCGACATGGCTCAGCAGCCCGCAGCCGGTCGCCCCGGGAATTTCAACATGAACAACATGGCGAACGCGCTGCCCCAGTCAAGCATGAGGCATGGGCATTACGTGCCCGGTGGCCAGCCGCAGCATCAACAGCAGCGATTCAGCCCGGCCACATCCTCGCCTTCGATGATGCCGCAGATGCCACAGATGGCTCCTCAGTATCCTGGCCAAGGCGCGATGCCCATGGGAAACCCGCAATACTACATGCCGCAGCACCACCAGATGCAGCACTACTACACCAACCAGCTCTCTCCGACTCAGCAGCAAGCTCGCCCAAACATGGGATACTACCCGAGCCAAATGGTTATGAACCACCCGCAGCATAATCAGATCCCTCAAGGGTACTACTATCCTCCAGCTGGCCACTACTCCCAGAATCAAGCTCTTCACAATCCCATGGTCTCGGCACAGTACATGGGAACGAACACCGGACACAGCGACCCTAGAGTCATGCCTCAGATGCCCAACGGAATCGACCCTAGCGGTATGAACGCTCCCTCGAGCCACAGGTCAAGTGGTATTGCGCGCTCAGTGCCAACGTGTCGGAGAGACATCACTGACCGAACTATAGATGTGGGTGAAGGTCGATCCGGGGTTGTACGCGGGCCACCGCGAAAACCGCGTCAAAGTGGTTAGTCTTGTTGCAATTCGAAGAGTCAAACTCGCTCGCTGACAATATTTTCAGGACATGCGATCTGGGTTGGAAATCTTCCGCCTCAAACCGACCTCATGAACCTCGTCCACCACGTGTGCAAGGAGGCAAACGGCCTCGAGTCCCTATTCTTGATATCGAAGAGCAACTGTGCATTCGCCAACTTCAAAGACGAACAAACATGCGTGACGGCTCAACAAAAATTACACGATTCTAAATTCCAGTCCGTTCGCCTGGTCAGCCGCTTGCGCAAGAGCACTGTCGAGGGCGCAACAGGTGTTACAGCACCTACAGGCCCAGCGGCCTCTTCTGGATCGCAAACGCCTCACGATGTCGCTGCACCGCCAAGCGCTACTGAAGCTACTCCCGAAGTGGCAGTGGCAGAGTCCAATGATGTCAAGCCCGTCACCGCAGTAGAAGCAACATCTCAGAAGGATAAGTTCTTCATCCTGAAAAGTTTGACTGTGGAGGATCTCGAGCTTAGTGTCAGGACGGGGATCTGGGCAACCCAGTCTCACAATGAGGATACGCTGAATGCCGCTTTCAATGTAAGCAGCATCACGAAGGTCTAGTCTTGCATCTCTGACTTGTTTCTATAGGCCGTCGACAATGTTTACTTGGTGTTTTCTGCGAACAAATCGGGCGAATATTTCGGATACGCAAGAATGACATCCCAAATTAACGAAGACCCGGACGCCGCTATCGAGTTTGCCCCCAAGGCACAGTCCGCTAACGATGTCGACTTGCCGAAGGCAATTCCTACCGAACCCACAGAGTACGCGCCCAAGGGCAGGATCATTGATGATTCGGCCCGTGGCACCATCTTCTGGGAAGCAGAGCGTGAGGATGGAGAGAGTGGTGACGAGGAAGAGGAAACCGAAATGGAACAGAGCGATGCGAGCAGCCGTAAGAGCGGGAACCAAGAAGCCGATGGTAACACCAAGGCTTGGGGGAAGCCCTTCAAACTCGAATGGCTGTCGACGGCACGACTGCCATTTTACCGCACCAGGGGTCTTCGTAATCCATGGAACTCGAACCGCGAGGTCAAGATCGCGAGAGATGGCACCGAGCTGGAACCGTCCGTCGGAAGAAGGCTGATTGGGCTCTTCAATAGAGTTCAGAGTCCTGGTCCAGGTTCAGTGCCGGCTATGCGACCCGGAATGGCGATGATTGCAGGATATTCGCCCATGAGGCCACAGTACCAACAATAACCGGCACCGTCATTGGTATTATTGGCGACTTAGCCGAGACTTCATTTGTCAGGCATTAGTTGATTTGGATCCGGACTCTGTGGTTTACGATCGGTTGGACATGTTTTTACGACAACAGCCGCATATGCAGGCCATGGCGAGCGCTGGGATGGTTGGTTATCTGGATGTGCTGCTTCTCAATGTATCTAATCTGGCTGTCTAATTCTACGAAAGAGTTTGCTGTATGTTGCCTACGAATTTGGAGTTGAAGGGGCGGCGCCTGGGCGATGTGACAGCTACCGGGACAGTTGGTACGGATGGACTGGTCAAAGGGGCAGGTTTTCTCCATTTATCATATCCCGCCCTATGCGTTTGCTTTCCCACTTGGTCCGGCGAGTTAAAGGCAAAATGCAGGACTTAAAAAAGTTGGTCAATATGCCATTTCTACTGCGAATCCACGACATGTCGTCGATCAGCTGTGGCACGTTTACGGTGGCGACATCCACATTGTGGCTTGACCCTGGAAGGGATGAACCCGGACGAGCGTCGGGATCACGACTCGAACTGCGCCCTCAAACCTTAATTGGCAAGGTTTCCTCGTCGCATGGCTGACCAGGCGCATGTCATTCAATTGCCGATTTTTGGTTACTTGAAATTGATGTCAAGATGCGCGAACTTCCCGTTCAGTTGATCAGGGAATACCTGTGGGATCGACTGCACAATGTGACTTTTTCGTCAGATCCAATTCGATGTTTTTCGTCGAAAAGTGAAGCTAGCGTGTATGATGTACCGTTACATTTGAGTGTGCAAACCGACAGATTTTATCGTCAGGGGTACGGAGCACCACCACAATCATTTGAATCCACGGTACGGAGCAACAGGCCTTGAATTTCCGCCACTTCTTTACTTGGTGTCCGTCCAGACCGATATCTCGTCCAAGTTTCTGCGGCGGGGTTACTGTAATGATCGCAACGGGATGATTACTGAGGGTCTCCGTCTCTGGAGTGAGGCGAACGTTTTCCCCACGTTATGAGGTACACTACCACACTACCAGGACCACCGTGTTGTGAGATACCAAATCCCAGAGGGCCGGAGACGTTACGACGTGCGGGTTTGAGGTAAAAGTTTGACTCAGCAATGCCGTAAGCTGCCACCGGCATCGGCTCGTCCTTCTCAAACGGCCTGCTGCATTGCAATCTTTTTTTCTCTCCCCCGCTCTCTCACTCTCTCTCACTACCCATGCGCCATGGTCCCATAGAAAGTGGGCGTAGATAATTGTGCAACAGGTTTCGCGGGAACCAGACCGGACATGCAGACTAAAACGGGAGTCGCCGTGGGCTGTATCACACTACAAACCCCGATTTGTAGGATCCGACACGATGATGGGGATCCCGCGGGCTGGTTTGGAATACCTAAGGGTCTGGACCTGGCCATGGGCGATTGAGAGTCTGGACTCTTTTTTTTTTTGTCGGCTTTCTGTCATGGACAAGTCTGTGTGACTAGGCGAGCTGGGGGCCGGGGAGGGGGAGGAGAGGTGCCCCGGCACGGACCATCCGTTTGACGTCGGGGGTCGAAATTTGATTGGACAGATGACGGATTGCGTCTTGCTGAACCCTTGTCGGAGGCCGAAACTCTAAAAAGTAGGCCAGGTGGATGTACCACGGCGACTTACAACGGTTTCGAGCTGCTCTTCGAAGGTCTGAAGATGCGGTTTCTACATTTCGGATGTTGACATGTTTATCGTATTGATCAATGGGGAACTATCGACTGATTGAATTGTCAGTGAGAGAGCTCAATTGACTTGAACGATTTTCCACCCTAAATTTCAATGGGGTTGAGTTGAGTAATGTATAGCTGTGCCGGTGGCGAAGGCCAATGGAAACCGCTGGAAGGTTCCAGCAGCTTCCACACCTCCGAAGCTACCAGAACCCTCTCCCATCGTGAGGCCATCGCCAAAGAGAAGCTTACAGATCCCTCCAGAATAGGCTTTCGCAGCATGCGCGTCCCTTCTCCGATGCGCGAGTCCATTCTCGAAGGGCCTTGCGGCGGAGTCTTTGATTTTTCAGCGATGTTTCCGGAACGCTGGGGAAGGCACGATGATGCCTGCTTCAGTTGTATAAATCGGTCGTCTTGATCGCCTCTACCACCGACTTTCTTCTCATCAGATCAGAACATCAAGAACAACAATAAGCAAACACAGCTACAACTCTCTCATACACACAACAAAACAACCAGCTCTCGCAATCACTACAGTTTTTCTACTCATCAATCAATCCACCACACAACCACTTCACACCCTCTCAACGACCAACAACAACAACACCATCAAAATGGCCTTCTTCCCCCGCAACTTCTACAACTCCGACGCCTCCTTCACCCCTCTCTTCCGCCTTCTGGAGGACTTTGACAACTACTCCCGCCAGGGCAACGGCACTCCTTCCAGCGGCGCCCGCGGCACCCACCGCAACCACGTCCCGACCTTCCAGCCCAAGTTTGATGTCCGCGAGGTCGAGGACGCCTACGAGCTCCATGGCGAGCTCCCTGGCATGAGCAAGGACGACGTCTCCATCGAGTTCACCGACCCGCACACCCTCCACATCCGCGGCCGCGTCGAGCGGTCTTACACCGCCGGCACCCCGCCCGCGGGCCTCCTCCAGCAGTCCTCCGGAACTGAGATGAGCGGCGCCATCACCGACGGCGGTAACAATGACGCCGCTAGCACCACCGGCACTGAGCGCCCTCGCTCGCCTCACCAGGCTACCGTCGAGGATGAAGAGGACGACGAGACAAACTCCACCGCGCAGCCTACCCCCGCCACCACCGTCGCCGAGGTCGACAAGTCTGCCTCTGCCGTCGCGCACCACCACGCCGCCGCTGCCAAGAAGGAGCCCGTCGACAACGCAAAGTACTGGGTCTCGGAGCGCAGCATTGGCGAGTTCAGCCGGGTCTTCAACTTCCCCGGCCAGATCAAGCAAGACGCCGTCTCGGCTGGGTTCAAGGATGGTATCCTTTCCATCCGGGTGCCCAAGGCTCCCAAGCACGAGACTCGCCGCATCTTCATCAACTAAAAGACGACTATGACTAAATCCTTCCAATTGTACAACACGACAATAATGAGAATTGAGGGAATAGGAAATGGGGCTTTCATGGAGGGATGAGCATTAATGGGCCTCTTGCATTGGGATTGGTGTTTCGGGTTTCTTTTCTTTCCTTCGCTATATATTAGCAATGATAATGAAACAAGGTTAAAAACAAAATGATTGAATCCATTTATAACTCGTCGCTGTGTCTGATTGTGAGCTTAACTTGACTCCAGATGGTAGAGTGATGATATCTAGCCCAGCTTGAGCTGGAGACTTCAACGCATAGAAGTGTTGTTGCAAGCTCTCGAATACAATTAACGCTGATGCACAGAGTATATCAAATGAATCGAAGTCTGGCATTTACATGCGACACAATTGCGAATGCCTTAGCTCAACGATGTCATGATTAGCAATTGTCGCGCTGTTACCTTGGGGTGTCTGTGGTGAGTTTGATGAGGGAAGCACGGAGCGTCTTAATATGACGCTAACTCCAGGCACACGGTGGGGCCGACCGGCTTCTTAATTGCCGCACGTGATTTGGCGTATTTTCTTCTCGATTAGTCGCCACCACCAGTCATCTCCGACGCGTCTTAAGAGCCCGCGTTTCGCCCACCATCAACAATTTGGCAATTGTACGAACACCTAACTCGTTTCCTGACGTCCGACTTTGCGCGTGCACTGCTGTCATTTCCCTCGTGTATACACAGTTCGACGTCTCATTTCTCACATCTACGAGCACAATGGCTGACGCTGACGGCTACGACGAGAGCCACAATGGTGATGAGAGCGGCATGACCGGGCCTGGCGCGCCTACGCCACTCACTGCGCTCGAGGTAAGTTCCGACCAGACTGCCTTCGCGTTGTGTATGGCGTGCTGATGAAGAAAAAGGGAGTTGCCGGCTTGACGAAGCGCGATATCCAAATGGTCGTCGACGGCGGCTTCAACACCGTAGAGTCAGTAGCGTATACCCCGCGCCGCATGTTGGAGCAGATCAAAGGCATCTCGGAACAAAAGGCAACCAAGATTCTTGCCGAAGGTACGAAAATCCAACTCACACAATTGTGCAAATCAATCTGACTGAAGGGAATCAGCCTCGAAACTTGTGCCAATGGGCTTCACGACCGCCACGGAGATGCACCAACGACGAAGCGAGCTCATCTCTATCACGACTGGCTCCAAGCAGCTGGATACACTTCTCGCCGGTGGTATCGAGACCGGATCGGTGACTGAGCTGTTTGGGGAGTTCCGCACGGGAAAGAGTCAGATTTGCCACACTCTTGCCGTGACATGTCAACTGCCTTTTGACATGGGTGGCGGAGAGGGCAAGTGTCTGTACATTGACACTGAGGGTACCTTTCGACCCGTTCGACTGCTGGCCGTCGCCAACAGATTCGGTCTCTCCGGAGAAGAGGTCCTCGACAATGTGGCCTATGCTCGCGCGTACAATTCAGATCACCAGCTCCAGCTCCTCCAGCAGGCTGGTGCCATGATGTGCGAGACCCGATTCTCGCTCCTCATTGTGGATAGTGCGACGGCGCTTTACAGAACCGATTTCTTGGGCCGAGGTGAACTCTCGTCGAGACAGACTCACCTGGCCAAATTCATGCGCACGCTTCAGCGTCTCGCCGACGAGTTTGGTATTGCCGTGGTGATCACCAACCAAGTCGTCGCACAGGTCGATGGTGGACCGAGTGCCATGTTCAACCCCGACCCGAAGAAGCCAATCGGTGGTAACATTATCGCCCACGCAAGTACGACGAGAATCAGCTTGAGAAAGGGTCGAGGCGAGACTCGTGTCGCCAAGATCTACGACAGCCCCTGTTTGCCGGAGAGTGACTGTCTCTTTGCGATCAATGAGGATGGCATCGGTGACCCAAGCCCCAAGGACCTGGAGAAGGAATAGCGTAGGGACACATGGGCACGGGACGACTGGACGAAAGTACCTTGTGATGGTGTTATGCGCATATGAGTGAGCTTTGATACATCCCCGGGTTGGGAAAGATGGCATGTATTGATGTTGGCGTTGGGCGGCAATGGTTACACTGGAGTTGTGGTATTTCTGCTGTCAATTGTGCAGACTAGGTGCGGAGTATTTGCTAAAACGGTAATGAATAAAAATACCTTTGAAGTCCTTCCTATGAGTATCAAAATATGCATCGTCGTTGGTTCCCTGTGTCCACCTTGTCTAGATTATCAACTCTTACTTTCTGAGAATCATGTCGAGTGTGTACAGTGTGGACATCGTTTGCGTGTACTGCAGCACTGTACCAAGCTGGTTGCTGTTTTGGGAGTAGCCCCACCGGGCGCGTAGGAGCCTTCAAACTGGAAATTCCATCAACTCAATCGCGACGAACTTTTTGCTGCCACAGATTGCTTAATGCGCCGAGCCTGACCCGCGACTCCCGCGGCCTCTTTCTCTCTCTCATCTCCGGCGCTCGAGGTCTTTGCAGGTTAGGGGCAAAGCGAAAATGGATTCCGCCGACACACAATACCTATACCGAGAGACTCGTCTCAATCTCGAACCGGCCTCCGCCTCATCCATCATCAACATCCGCGTCCCTTCGCTGACGTCGAATGGGAGGGGCGCGACCCGCAAGCTCACATCCGGCGACAAGAACATCAGCGAAGACGAAGTCAACTTTCGGCTCAAGAACCTCGCTCCCGCTTCGTCCGTCTACCACCGCAAATGGCACGATGCGCCGCGCAGCTTCCTCTGGAGGCTGTTGGATGACGGTCTCGTCCTCAGCCTACGGGTAGTCGATACCTGCCGACAAGAGAAGACGGTCGATGCGCCGCTGATTCTCAATTTCCGGTTCACGGTGCCAATTAAATCGTCCTGTGTTGCGTTCGCCGACCCCCGAGAACATGATGCGCTCTCCATGTTCGTGCTCGACGAGGCCAACTGCCTGTACTCCTTCACTCTCCGCCCCGACTTCTTCAGGAAGCGCTCCGCCATCGAGGCCGGCCCGGGAGATGCTTGCAAGGTGTACCAGCCAAAGGTCTTTGGGTTCAAGCACCCGCATCGCATGGTTGCCGCGAGCACCGATCAGATTGTCATTTCTCTTCACGACGGCGGGCTGGTGAGGTTGGACCGGAACAAGACACAGGATTGTATGTCATTTTCCCTCGACTGCTGCTACCACAACAAGAGCTTCACACTAACTTGTGCATAGCAACGAGCAACCCCTGGAAGGAGACGATCTACAATTCACAAGGATGGGCGCAGGGCATTCGAAGCTATCTCCCGTTCCAGCAGAACCAGTCTATCCGATATCGCAACATCCACATGGACGCGAGCGCGGCAACGTCGATACAGGTTACGAACCTGGGCCTCGATGATGCGGCGTTTCTCTTCACAGTCTGTCTCGACCATCGCATGCGCATCTGGAACCTGCGGACAGGTCAGATCTTGTTTACTGGCGACATACTGAACTCTGACCGCAACCCGCAAGAAGTCGGCAAGTGGCAGATTGAACCTACACAGACGAACTTATTGCAGCTGGTTGGCGACGGAACGGGCAACAGGATGTGCGCCACGTACTCGCCCATTGGGGCTGGAGAGTTCAAATTCTGGAACATTAAAGCCCGCGTCAGCGACACCGTTTACGTGGAAGATGCGTTCCCTGATACCCACCTCACCCCATCGTCACCGTCGCTCTCCGATGTGTGGACCCTGGCGGACTTTGTTCTTTCAACACTTGCAGATGGCGGTATTCAGTTGTGGACATTGTGGAAGAACAATATGACCTACAGAGTCCAGGAGCTGGATCTCAACAGAGACAACATCGCCGAGTCATGGGAAAGCGAGTGGGCGTCAGTCCACATTGACACAACTTATCCCACCGCGCCGACGTCCGGATCCTCTGACCCTACAGACCCGACAGAAAAGTGGTTGGATCTTATCCTCGCCCCTGGCCGCTTCACCAAAGCGACCCTCGAAACAGCTCTGTCCATATACGAGAAGGGGCTTTATTCACAAAAGGAGGGCAGCTCGAAGAGTCAACAAAAGGGCCTGGCAGAGTCAATCTGCTCTGTTCTTGCCTCGACAGCATCCTTGGACCGGAACTCGGCTGGTGGTATGGATTATGAGCAATTCCGTGCTAGCAGCGAGACCCAGTGGAGGAGATTTTACCGTCTTCTGATCGAGTTGGACAAGCAACGTGGCGAAGCAGTTGCATTGGTTCTCGACGCAGAATCCGACATGACGTGGGTTGTGTGTGCCGATGCAATCTCGGCCATCAGAGAATGCAGCTCACTGGAGCGGCTGTACTATAATCTCTCGCGACCAGATGAGGCCTCGGAAAGGATAGCAAATCTTGTCTCGACGGGCGTCGGCTTCCTCGATGCTATTTCGGACAGTATACAACAGGTCTGCACTGCCGCCCTGCGACCTGAGATTTACGAGGAGACCCCTCGAACGGACTATGAACGACTCCAATACCTTTTTGACACCACTGCTCTTTGGCGCACTGTAAGTGACGAAGACTGCGCACAGGTCATTGAGAGTCTAGGACAGTCTTACACTGGTGTTACGATGGATCTATACGAAAGCCTCTCGGGCTTGGTTGCGGCTACGGAGGAGTCTGGAAGCCGCAAGGCCCGTCAACCGCTGACCGACTTTGGACGGAAGCTCATTGTCAAGGCTGTTCAAGAGACGATTGATCTGCAGTGGAACATTATCTTCAGCCAGGTCTTGCTACTGGTACACATGGAGTTCGACTGGGACCAAGAGGAAGACATGCTCTCCAAACGAATTGACGTCGGCGCTGTGTTCAGACAGTTCCTCGAGTCACTTCGTCGGTTAGAGCTGCTTCGGTGGCTCTCCAAGACCGAAATCACCGTTCCTATTGGCAACAAGAACGAGCGCAATGACTCCTTCTCAGGCTCGCCTAGCACCACGAAGAGGACTGCAGAGGAGACACAGACCGTCACCGCGTTGGAGGGTAATGTCGGTCATCTTCTTGGCTTTGTGGACGGCAGAAACGAACCTTTGGCTACGAGTATCACAGACATCGTTACGGATCTCTGTGCCTCCAACAGCGATATTGAGGTGTCACCTACTCTAATCCAGTGCTCCCTCATCAGAAGAGAGCGGGCCGATCTTGCTCTTCAACTCAACCCCTACTGCGCCCAGACGCCATTCGCCATCTACATTCAGGGCCGTGTTTTCCTTGCGCTTAAAGACTTCGCTTCGGCCGCCTTCCACTTCCGTAAAGCAGCGATAGGCATGAGTAAGTTCAATTTGCCACTGCTGTGTAGAAAACAAGACTAATGTTAGTGACAGGCGTCAAAGATGTAGATGTTGACCGACACAGCAGCGGGCTGCTTGACGATACCGAGTGGAACCTGCTCAACAAGGGGCCGGCTAGGTATTACTGTCACGCAGTCGCTCTGTTCGAGAAGGTCAAGGCATACTCATATGTAATCGAGTTCGCCGGACTCGCAATTCAATACTCACACGCCAGTCCCGAAGCTGCCCTGGTCAGAAGCGAGATGCTTAGCCGACAGTTCAATGCGGCGACGGTACTCTCACGCTTCGACGTCGCCCATGCTAGTCTACTAGCCATGAAGGATAAGGCGATGCAGCTCTCCTCCCTTCGCAAGCTTGTCGACAAGATGTGCGAATCGTACCACAACAGCGAGCTCATGTCGCTGCCGTTCCCGGGTCTACAAGACTCGATCGACGACATTCTGGCACAAAGGTGCAAGGCAACGATGGATGTCCTGAGCGGCATCCCATACCACCAGATTCTTTACTCCTGGAGGATCAAACACAACGACTACCGCGGCGCCGCTACGGTGCTGCTTGACCGCATCCAAAAGCTGCGACACGCCGGCGAGGGCGATAAGCTCATTGGCGAGGACATTCTCGATACGGCGGTCACGAAGCAGTATCTGCTGCTCATCAATGCCCTCAGCTGCGTCGATCCGAAGCAAGCGTGGATCTTTTCCGAGGAGTTGCCGCCTCCCAACGCTTCGAGGGAGCCGACGACCTTCCAGGGTAAGCGCAAGGTCGTTACGTTACCGGACTTGCGCAAGCAATACCAGGACGAACTCGACCGGATCGCAGCCATCCAGAACAACCAGTTTGGATTCGAGGCTGACGATGCAATGGACATTTTGTAAATGGATGAAATGAGCAAAGAAACGAGATCAAAAGGTTGGAAGGGCAATGCGGGCCAAACGGGGGAGGGGAGAGTTTACTTCGTAGGGGATGGAGATGGAGAGAGCATGTGTACAAGTAATCAAGAACGCGCGATCCTGGACCACACAAGAATGATCCAGGACAACCAGATACCTTCACGAATTGCATGCATTGGGTTTTGTTTTTCGGTAATCGGTCAAGGTCCAAGGTAGATGATGAAGAATTTCATTGTTTGTTGTATCAGTGCAGCAGACCCTAGCTTTGTTTACCCCAAACGCCGTGACCTATGCTTAAAACTACGTGGGACGGACGGTTCTTGACGAGGACTTATCCTCTCATTGGCGGCAGCAGCCACATCATGCAGAATAACCTCCCCCCCTTCCCCCTATTTCATCAAACAACTCATTACTTATAAACCATGGCGTCATTCTTCAGATACTTCTATGCCTGAACAGACTGGCCCATCAACTTTGGGTTCTCGGGGGCGGCGGCCATGATCATGTTAGGACCGGCGGCGGCGTCCGGGGCTTGGCGGTAGAGAATGATTTCCGACTGCTTGAAATACCGCCGCGCATCTGGTGTTCGATTGTTAGCTTGCATTTAATCAAAGACATAACCATAAAACGGGTGGTTGTGGCTTGCCTTCGTCGATGAGCACGAGACTGAGGTAGTACCGGGTGGAGAACTTCTTGTTCACGTCCCGGAACGTGGGTGTCAGGTCGAAGCCGCCGAGGAAGAGGCGGATGGGGATCGTCTCTCCTCTCGAGGGCGAGCCATCCATAATCTTTGTGCCGAGAGAGTCAGTACACAGAACCATTAAAAGTTGGAGGAGAGCATTATCCGGAGCCACAAACTCACCTCGAACCGCACCAGGGTCTCGCTCTCATTATACTGATTCGGCGCGGCGCCCGTCGTCTCCCTCCGGATGATGGACAGCTCCATGTGTTTTATCTTGAGGCGGACGAGCAAAAAGTATATGCGCCCGACGATAACGTCCTTTAGGTGGTATTTGGATTTCGAGTACTCAAACTCGATGTGGAGGCAGTCCTCGATGCCGACGTCCATCTTGATGGACGAGTTCATCTCGGGGGGTATGCGGTACGAGTAGACCCAAATGTCCTTTTCGCGGATAACGTCGGCCATGCGGCGGGAGACGGTGACGCGGACAAAGTAGCGCAGCTTGACGTTGATGCCGTTGTACGACTCGTACTGCTTCTCGACGTTTTTGAAGTTGAAGTCGAACGTCTGCGGGTGCTGCAGCTCGCCCGGGGCCGCGAGCTCCTGGACGAGGGAGAGGAATTCGTAGTGGTTTCCGCGGTCAAAGAACATTTCTGCGCAGAGGAAAAAGATGGGAGTATTAGTATCGGGCGAAAGGCGGGAGAGGTTCTTGGGGGTCGCTCGCTCAGAAAGACTCACCTATCGTGCCGATGAATTGGACCTTGATGCCGGTGTGTTCTAGCCGCTTGCCGTCCTTGGGTCTGATGGTGACGGCGCCCTTGACGGACTCGCCGTCCATGTACAGCGGCGCCTTCTCGCGCCGGTTCTTGTCGAGCTTGACATCGACCATGGACCGCTCGTCGGCGTCCTCCAGCACAATGTCGATGTCGACGGGGGTTGAGAAGAAGTACGACATCTTGGCTTATGCGGGGGAATGCCCGGATCTCGTGCGATTGTGTGGTTTCGATGCTCGGATATAAAGGGGGCGACGAATCCAAGGTCCCAATGGCTAGTGATCGGTCAGCCCGTCGAGCTTGGAATTTAATGATTGAGTTGAATTGATATCGGAGCGTCGGAGAAGGGGGGTGTCGCGGAGCTTCAAGGCTGACGTATCTGTATCTGTACGTGCACTCACTCGGCTTGCGCTGCTCCAGTCGCGCCAGCCCGGGCAGCTATCGAGAAGTGGGCAGCAACTGGAGCTGTAGGGAGTGCATCCTCCCATTGGCCAGTACCGACACGTGACTGTGCTAGGCAGTCATCCTCAGTACTTGAGGCTGGTGACCCGGAGCTGTGGCTGGGGCTCGACGGCCATGCCCCGGACGGTCAGGATCCGTCCTTCTCCACTAGGCCCGGGCAGCCGGGCGGTCGGCCAGAGAATCAATTACGCACAGACCATGGTTTTGCCCTCACGTGCACACAAGCCCTCGCTAGAACTTTTGCACCCCACACCCGAAAATTGAATCGCGACTGCCAGACTCCCCGACTTGGAACTTTTTTGAAAGTGAAGAATTGTCCCTCATCGCCCAACGAACGACCAGTCGCCCAGTAGATCGCCCAGCCGACAGCCCTCCTCCCCCCCGACGTCAAGATGAGATACATCCACTCCCAAGAGAGCCTGACGGTTCCCGAGAATGGTATGTAAAGCAATGCCGTCGTCGTCGTCTCCTTGACGATCGATTGAGCACACAACACAACGAAAATACTCCTCCCCCACGATGCGGCCCCCTGCGAGCTCCGCCGGGTTTTGAACTTCACGATACTATATCACCTATTTGTCGCCATTCGCACTTCGAGTCTCTCGCCTTCCTCTGTCATGGCCGCAACCTCATGCCTTTGGCAACATGGTCGCTGGCGCAAAAAATGGAAAACCACAACCACATCACAATGGCAGAGGGATTGGGGAGGCTTGAGGCGGACAAGGCAACATTTGGGTTTTGGGGTTGAAGAGTTTTAGACTGTGGATGAGCTCGAAAGGAGCAGTAGTGGCAGGCAATCGAATGCATGCTGACTTGGATTCTCCAAACAGTCAAGGTTCACATCAAGTCCCGCATCGTCACCGTTGAGGGCCCCCGTGGTAAGTACAAGACTCTCCTCCGAACGCGATATCTCCCGAGACGTTGCGAACGGCCGGCCCTAGCTGTTCCTGCTCTGCGCAAGCAGAGCGCAACGGCTTCAGTGCGGCAGCACCCCTCACCAAACCGATATGGCTAACACCCGTCACCAGGCAAGCTCGTGAAGGACCTGTCCCACTTGGCTGTCAACTTCTCCCAGCCGGTCAAGGGCACCATCAACATTGAGATCCACCACGGCTCAAGAAAGAACGTTGCCACTCTCCGCACCGTCCGCACCCTCATCAACAACCTGATCGTCGGTGTCACCAAGGGCTTCAAGTACAAGATGCGCTACGTCTACGCCCATTTCCCCATCAACGTCAACCTGGAGAAGGACTCCGAGACTGGTCTGTGGGAGGTCGAGATCCGGTATGTTTGCACAATGATTCTATACCCGATGATTGCGAGAGACTGATCTGTTCACTTTAGCAACTTCATTGGCGAGAAGCTCGTCCGCAAGGTCATCATGCGCGAGGGCGTCGACGTCGAGGTCTCCAAGGCCCAGAAGGACGAGCTCGTCCTCTTCGGCAACTCCCTCGAGGCTGTCTCCCAGTCCGCTGCCGATATCCAGCAGATCTGCAAGGTCCGCAACAAGGATATCCGTAAGTTCTTGGACGGCATGTACGTCTCCGAGAAGGGCAACATTGAGGAGGAGGCTTAAATGCATCTTTTTCCACTCAACGTATAATCCCTCTCGATGAATCAATAAAAACGAAGGTATTGATTGATGTATGAGCCGGAGGAGGGGAGCAAAACCAAAACAAAAAGGGTCAAAACAGGTCATGTTTTTCGAGGCAAATGCAAAAATCAAACTAGGGTTTCTGGGTCTTACACACAACACAATTGGCGTGGCCGGGGTTCCATTTTTCACTTTGCATCGTGTAGCGCAGGGCTACCATGAATCACATCAAAAGTCAAGAAGACGTTGCCTGCTCCCCTCTCTGAGCAGTATATCCCACAACACCTCATTATATACCCTACTCGCATGAGACATTCTTCATGGTGAAATGATACCCACTCAAACTTAAAGGACTCTTCCCTGCTGGCTGTTTTGTGAGAAAATGTACTTGCGGATTTAGGATATCTTACACTGTAGACAATGCGTCCACATATCCTGCCTCGTGACTGAACGACATGAGCGCAGCTATTTTCACAGTAAGGTGGGATTTCCGTGACGGTGTAGCTCTTGACTCATCTCGTCATCCTGATGAACTAAAAATTCAGCCAAGCTTGACCAGATTATGGCCTCATGAGAGTTGCCATCCTCTCGCTCGACTCTTCACAGCATTTGTCTACTGGCACACACATACCCAATACTACATTTCCTCTTCAGATGCAACGTCAATCAACTGTAGTTCCATACATCCGCCCAATAGTCCCAAGGTTGAACGACACCAAAAGAAAGAAGGAAAAAAAGCACGAAATGTCTCATAACCAAAAGAAATTGACCAGCCTGGGGGTCGAACCCAGAATCTCCTGATACTTTGTCAACGTTTTCCTCGCCCTAGACGAACGAGGGTAAACGCAATCGTAGTCAGACGCCTTGCCATTGGGCCAACCGGCCACTAGCGAATAGTGGGATGAAGAAAAGGACACCGGAATTGGCTCTGTGTTGGCAAATGCTCCACGAGGAGGGCAAAGAAATCTCTTTCCCGAAGGTGGAGATCTCGCATTGCAGACTTACACCTAGACTTAGACCTCGTATACCCCGACACACGCACACGCAGAGACGTACGCATCAGACGGCCCGAACGCGAAAACGCAGACCGCACATGGAAAACTCGCTTGGTTCCATGCATGGTCAAACGCGCTCGCAGTGCGCAAGCGCCGCATGTTCATCTCAACTTTGTCGACTCTTACACGGCTTCCCCGAGAAAGCTTCAGCAGTGTGGCTGCATACACACTTGAGCTTGAAGCAACAACACGACAGGAAGGCGATACGGCAACGAGCAAATGTTGTAATCAGAGAGCCCAATCGAAGAATTTAGTTTCCATTCCATGCATTAAGGGCGTCGAGAAGTTTCGTCTATGCCATCAAATCGTTCTAAACATCGTACATGCTATGCGGGTTTTGGAGGATGGGTAGACAAAGTCAGCCACACCAAGGAAAATGAAGTAGGAAACGCTCAATGTCCAAAGAGATGACCCTCCTCACATCCATAGTCTTCGTGGCCATTTCCAAGCCCCTTCGTCACTCTCCACCCAGTTTTCATGTCTCTCGTCATTCTTTCATTCCCCTCTTCGTCGCCGAATGTCTCGTCTCTCGTGCCTTGTAGTTTCCATCACCGTGCTATCAAAAGCCCGGTGGGATTATGATCTCCTCCCTTAACGCCAAAAAGAAAAATAGAAAGCAATAATACCAGTTTATGTACGTTCAAAGCATGTTCGGGGCTTCCGCCGCCTTGTAAAAAGGCAGCCGACAGCATATGCAATTCGACCGAGGTCGCCAAAGAACTTGGGGTGCTACCTCCGTGAGTGGCGCGTCGTGTGTGTGCCGCGTGTGTGGCCGGTGCGGTGAGTTCTTCCACCCGAGCTAGAGCTGCCTAGGTAGGACGTCAGATCCGATCGATCCCGAGAATCCCATGAAGACTCACTGGGACTTGTCCCCGTGTACGAGTAGTACGAGTCGGTGTAGCTCGACCGAGGCTTGGCCTTCGGCTTGTCCTTCTTAAGATTCAAGAGCGCCAACATGGTTGCTGCGGCGGCTCCCAGGCCCAACCACTTGGCGCCTTCCTTCTTCTCTTCCTTGCGACGAGCAGCCGGGGCGGGACGACCGCCACCTGCGAACCAGCCGCCGTGCGAGGGGCGACCAGAGTGGGCAGATGGCATGCGGCTGCCGTGACGCGAGTATCTCTCCTCAACCACCTCGACTCGTTCGCGGCTGTGGCTGTGCTCCTTCTTCTTCTTGCCAAAGATGAGACCCCACAGGCCGCGGGCGATACAACAGAAGCAGAGAAGCATGAGAAGACCGAGACCTGCAAGCGTGCCGATAACAATACCGGCGATGGCGCCGCCGCTCAATCCTCCACCAGTACCCTCGTTGGTGATGGGTACGACTGTGCCGGTGCTGGTTGCTGAGGCGGCGGTGCCGGTGGCCCCGGTGCTCGTGATGCGGTAAGGAGCAGAGTATTGGGTGGTGATTGTATGGCCTCCCGATGTAATTGTAGTGACGCCTCCGCCCCAGCCATCGCGCTGAGCGCATTGCCCTGAGTAGGCACAGTACTGGTTGGCGGCGCAGCAAATGCTGCCACAGGCCGTCTCTCCACTACTCTGAGGAACACAGGTGGCCCCGGTGCCTCCCCCAGCTGCCCCTGTTGTCACTGCAGGCCAGTTTGTCGATATTGTGCTGGTAAAGGTGTTCGTCTCAGTCCATGTCGTGGTGTAAATGCCGTAGCCTCCACCTCCGCTCACGGTGCTGCAGCCAGCGATGTTGTTAACGGTGTAGCACTGCTCTCCAGATCCACAGCAGTATTGAGAGTCGGCTCCACAACGTTGAACGCAATCGCGCTTCATAAAATGGTCGCCCAAATTGTAGAAGAGGTTGTTTGCGACGTTTTGGAGAGGATAAGGGTGGGCGAACACCGGAGTGGGGGCGGACACCAAGAGAAGAAGGCCGGCGACCAGAGGGGCCGCTGCCGACTGCTTGCGCCATGCCATTATTTCTGGCGGAGACCGCTGCTCGGCGTCGTCAATTGCCAGGAATGCGCAAGGCCGGGAAGACGGCGAAGTGAGAATGTAAGTCGGCTCTCACCGCGATGGCCAATTTTGTTCCGTCAATGGCGATATCGAGAGGTCCTGTCTTGTTTCGTAGCCTCGTGGGCGCCGCAAAGATTGCGAGAGTGAGGAATGTTGTAGCGGTAGGATGAGGTATTAATGGTTGGCGGGGAATGAGAAGAAGAGGGAGGGTAAGCTGATAGTATAGTCGAGGTGTGATTGAATGGTCGCGGTGTGAGCTGGCCAACCTTAGCCTGTTAGTGTGCAGAGGTATTGGCAGGTACTGAGAGCTTGGAATGTGATGATTCTTGGGTTAGATGGGAAGAAGGAACCAAGAAGTCGGGAAGAATGAAACCTGCAGGTAAGTTTGATTTAAGAGAGAGAGGGAGAGATTGAGAAGGCGCTGACTGACGGGAGTGTCGTATTACTTGGTTTGGGCAGTGGGATTGTCTTTTTTTCTTCTTGGCCGTTGCGCGGGTCGATTCCCAACCTCCCTGAAGTCCAACCTCTTGATTTTGCTGCCGCTGTCACCAGGCGCACCCACACTTCTGACACCCACAATACTACCCTCAAATAATGCAAAGTTCCGCAGGGATCTAGCTTCACCGATTAGTTTCTGGCCAATCTCTGATGAGGGTGATTGTGAAGGTTCCTCTTGAGTGCGCGATTCCGTCACACTTGCTGCTTCTTTTTATGTTCTTGTTCCTGAAGATCGGGCGCCGAGATGTGGTAACCCCTTCTCTTAGACCAAGACACCCGGGACAGACGAGGGTTATAAGTGGCCTAGTGCGGGGAGATGCCTGTATGAGTTGGCAGAAACGGGTCGTTACTCGCTGATGGTACCTTCGTGACTGGCCCGGCCCAGAGCGCCTTGGTTCCCACTTGTTTACCTGCAGGGGTCGGTCCGTCCACTGGACGACAATCGATAGGCAGAGAAAGCCTGTTCCAACCCAACTGTACGAATGAATACTCGTGGCCGTAACAATAGAGGTGCGATTGTTTGCCCTGCCGTTTGTCTCTCCCGCCGGGCAGGCCCCGTCAGGTACCGTTTCGCAGGCTTGTCACTCGCAACCGAGTAACGCAGCTAGCGAGCTCCTTCCTTGCTTACTCTTGCCATCTGGTGCCTTGCAACCATTGGCAGGGGCGCTTGTTAGCCCATCGTGAGCTGCTTCAATGAGATCATGCTCATTTCCTGCGCTGTCACATTGGTCTCCGTGTACCTCGGATCTAGTGCAGTGGTCATGACCTCTCGTGACAGAAGTTCTAGGGCAGAGGAAACGGTCTTTGACTCGTATAGGGCAGATTGGCAGCGCCATGACAGCTCTTGCGCTGGCTTCTGGCACCACGACGAGATCTCGGCAGGTGTCAGTCCGTGGGTTCCGCAACTTTGACGGCATCAAGTGTGCAAGTGAGCCCGACCGGCGGGATGGGACTCCGCGGCACCCAGGAGGGGTCATCGCCAAGTAGGCCGTGAAGTTCTGGCTAGTGACGCCTTTTTAAGATTCAAGGGACTTCTTTTCCGTATGTGCCTTGCATATTGGCGTGGGCCAGTCTTTCGTACAAGGGTCGTTCGTGTAGAGAAAAAAAAAGAAAGATGAGCAGTATTCAGCTTCATCTGGCGAGCCGAGTACCAACGATAGCTGCACTTGGGGAAAACGGGTGGTTGGGAACCGGGGCAACTGGGTCGTAGTGCTATTTGAAGTGATAGACCGTGTAAGACCAAGAGGGCAGTGAGCCTAGCTTTAGGAAGGATTCAAGTGGATGTGATTGAGGAAAACGCACCGCCACAACGCTCGATCGAGTGGATCAGCTTCATTGGCTAAGTAGAGCTTTGGTGGGTCATTGGAGCTGCCACATGTGGCTTATGTAGAAATGGACCTCAAGCCAATCATATGCCATGAGCCTGACGCTGTGACTTGAGCAAGGAAGTGACCCAAAAACTGGGCGGGCGCGGCTGCGGGCCTGCGGCTGCGGCTTGAGAGCATTACGTTCGTCAGACAGCTTCCCGCCGCAACGACCTGCGACCCTCAGCACCGCCGAATCCATCCACACCGTCCATCTCTAAACCCCCCCTCTCGGCGACATAGGTGCATCTCGAATTCAAAAAGCCGCCCGGGTCGCTACTTCCCTCGACTCGCCGCCATGTCTCTCGATCCTCCCACCTACCTGGCCTCGCTGCAGAACAACATCCGCCAGCGGCCAATCCCCTGGGATGGCGCTGTTAGAGCAGGCACCATCACAGAGGACCACCTGGCCCGCATCCGCGCTGTTGATAAGGCGAAGAAGCCCGAAGCTCGGAAGGAGATTGTAGAAGGAGATCTCGATGGCTACCGCTCCCTCTTTGTTGGTGAATCCGGAAAGCCCTCGGTGATCGAGTCCGCAGGCAAGCAAGCCAATGTCGTCCAGTATATCCTCGTCCTCTTGGCGGACCTCTTGCCCAGTACGTTCTATACCATTTCCCATTGATTCGCCAGCCTATGACTTTGGCTAGACTCTCCCTATCCTGCCCTAATTGTCCTTAAGATTAATCTATCTTGACGATCGATTCATATGCCTCAATCCCGCTAATGCTGTCGTCTTCCCAAATAGGTGTACCGTCACTCTCGAAGGCTATTTTCAAAAACACCGACCCCTACAAGCACTTTCTACCTTTGCTCGCTCACTCGAATAATACCGAGGACCCTATCCCCTTGCTCACATCGACGGCTCTAACCAAGCTCATGTCGCTCTCATTGAACGAATCGCAGGCGACCCGAAACGCCATTCCCGTGCTCCTCTCCTACCTATCTGGCCTCGCGAAGAGTTCTGATGCAGGCCTTCAGGATATCGCGGTCCAGGAATACTCATCCATTCTCTACGGACACGCCGCGAGACAACAATTCTGGAACCAAAGAAGCGAGACGATTGCGCCTCTGATTGACATCCTCAGAACAGCAGCTGGCATTGGCAGCAACGGCAGCTCCTCGGCAAGCATATGGAGCGGAACCGCGCCCACAAGAAACGCCGGATTTGAGGGTTCGCTCGGCGGCGGTGTTGGTTTGCAATTGCTATACCATGTACTACTGGTCATCTGGCAAATGAGCTTCGAAGCCGAAGATATTGGTGACGAGCTTAACGAGTAAGTACACTCTAGTCGTATGGCTTTCACAAACTAATCATGTTCAGCGAGTACGATGTTGTCTTGCTGTACACCCAGCTTTTGCGCCTCTCTCCCAAGGAGAAGACGACCCGATTGGTTGTTTCTACCCTTTTCAACTTGCTCAGCAAGAATCAGAAATCACTCCTCCCTACTGCAGTCCTTGCGCGACTACCTGCGCTCCTTGACAACCTGAGCGGCCGCCACCTGACAGACCCTGACCTACTCGAAGACGCACAAAGTCTCAAGGAACTTCTCGAGGAGTACACCAAGACAAAGACAACCTTTGACGAGTACGTCGCTGAGGTCGAGTCTGGTCACCTCCGGTGGTCACCGCCTCACAGAAGCCAGGTTTTCTGGGCCGAGAATGCGCGCAAGATTTTGGAGCACGAGAACGGAGCTATTGCGCGCCAGCTCGCCGAGATTATGAAGAAGCCGTGGGAGAACGACAAGGCAGTCCTGGCCATTGCATGCAACGATGTTGGGGCCTTGGTTAAGGAGGTGCCTGAGATGAGATACAAGCTGGAGAAGCTTGGTCTCAAGACCAGAGTTATGGAGCTAATGGGAGAGTCGGACGAAAATGTCCGTTGGGAGAGTTTGAAGGCATTGGGTGGCTGGTTGAAGTACAGCTTTGACAACTAAATTTGTTTGCGGAGCAAGATCAAACAGTATGGCTATTGGCTCACGCTCTGTGTATGTATAAACGGGGGATAGCATTACCCAGGCAGTTTAGAGTGGACCAGGAGTAGGTCGTTCCCGCATATTCCATTGTTTTTTTGTTGATCAACGCTCTCGGCCGAAATCGCGATGTGTGCCCACAGATATCTCGAGTCTGTGGATGGAACACGCCATACGGTGATGATCAGTCGAGTAGGACACTGGCACTTTGACGCGGAGCCAAGGCACAAACAACACCATTGATGAGCATCGTGGGATGTTTCTTTTGGTCCCGGGGAGGGTGATGGAGGCGTACGATGTGCGGATACAGGTGACCGCAAATCCGCGGCGGCGGATAATCACCCGAGGCGGCGAGGCCCGCCGGCCATCTACATAGACATACGCAGTAAGGTGCTTTACCTTAGTACTGGCAACGTCAGGGGTCAATTCGGCCCCTCGTCTCTTGAATTTTCCAGCTAGCCAGCCCAATGGGAAGGGTGGAGCTATGCTTAGGTAGGGAGGTACCTAAAATAAGGGGTGCGTTATGTACTCCGGAGCTTATCATACGGGCGGTACGTGCCCGGCGGGGTTGACGTTTGGCGTGGGGTGGCGCGACTGCGACCCCTCAATTATTAGTGATTCTAGATCCCAGAATATCCCAGAATGTGGGAAGATCCCAACAGAAACTCCACCTGAAAGAGCTCTCGTGGTTCAGGGTCCATAGCTTACCACAGCTTCCGGTCGCATGTCCGATCGTGTACCCTCCAACCCTTTTCCAAACGCCGAAGAGCCGTTCAGTGCCCACGAACAAAACCAGACACACCCGCTCTCGCATCCGCCGCCCACGCACACCTCTCTCTATTTTTCCCTTCTCAAACCACCACAAAAGAGACACACACAAACACAAACGAAGCACAGCTTTCTCTCTCTCTGATTGCACTCGTTGCCTACCTACTTGCACAATGGCGCCCAAGGCAATCATAGCCCCGTCGATTCTCGCGGCCGACTTTGGCCACTTTGGCCATGCGTGCTCCAAGACCATAGAGCAAGGCGCTGACTGGCTTCACGTCGATATCATGTACGGAGACCATACCCCGCTAGAAAAAAATCAGCACACAAGCATCTTGCGACCGCTTTTTTGGAAAGCCGA